CCTTCTTCACTTCATGTTTTATGTTTAGTTCACTGGCTCGTTAAAAGTTCAACTAAATTGAAATAATTCACTGCCAGCCTATCAATCGGGTCCGACACTTTCTGTCTAAATTCCTCTGATTTATGTGTATATATCAAGTTGATATTTCATGTTTTCGCTGCAGAAGCACGATGTGTCCTCAAGTCTATACAAATACTGTTTAATCAAACCTCCACTTATAAGAGTCCTTTATGTATGAGTGTTCACAAAATTACATGGTTAATAATGACTTGTATTTATGCATTCTCACAAATGTCAAATGGATCAATTCAGAGTCTATTGGACACACTTTCGCACTGCAGATTTGGCCTAAAGTCTGCCAAGAGCCTCTCTCAAACAGTGGATGTGGCAGGTGACAGCTTAGAAAGGCTCAGCGCATCAGAGAAACGACGCAGACACAGCTGTTTGTGCTTCTCTAACACATTTTGTTCTTTTTTTCTGCATATCACCACACAGAGGGCACCTTTGGAAAATCAAATGGGAGATTACCGAGCGCACACAGAGTCAGCTGTTGACCAATATTTACTGTAACATCTCCCTCCCTCCGTCTCTCATTGACCTCCCTCTTTTACCCCTGATTTATTTTTAGCACCAGCCTCTCTCACTCGGGCCTAACATAAGAATAGATGCTCCTCACAAGAAGCGCAGCAGGAAATGTTCTGCAGGCAATATGTTGGAGGGTGGAGGCTGCTGTCCTGTCACTCGGACCAATTTAAAGAGCTCTGTCATGCAGTTCGCCTCTGATACTCGCAGCTCCGTTGCTCAACCCCATCGGCTTGATTTATTGAGGTATTTTGCAGCTCAGAAAAATCCAGCAGGAAAACTAAACTGATACGCTGGGGAAACAGCCTGCAGTCACTTCCTCTGACTGAGGATGATGTTGCTCTTAATGGAGCTCTTGTGAGCCTCTTGAGTTTTCGCCTCTTGTGTTTCAGTGCACAGGTTTAGCAATTCTCCTCATTATTTGCGACTCGTCTTTCCATTACAGGTCATTTCTATAAGAATATATAAACAATAATCAGATAAAAACAGATAAAAAATTTTTTTTTATGAGTGCATTCAAAATGTATCCTGGTGTAAAATGCTAACATTTTGTGGCCTTGTTGATTCCCTTAAATTGTGAATAAATAGAACAGTTACCAACTCTAGTTTCCATTTCCTTTCACTTTATGTCACCAGATTATTTCAGAGTACATGTGAAAAAGCAAAAATGTGTTTTTCTTCAGTAATATGTAAAAAATCACTACGACTGCAGAAAATATAACAGAGCATATTTTAACGTTGTTACTTAAAATGAGTCACATTAGTTATCTGCAGCTGTGAATGAATCATCTTTTTACACTTTCTTTAATGGGATCTTAAAAAAATCATAAGCATGATATGATCAATCCCAATTTGATTGAATCAATCGAAACCAGTGTCTCTGTTCAATAGTCAGACATTTTCTTTGTTCAGGGTCCTCACACCTAACCAGTAAAAATCACACCACATTTAATCATCATCATCTGCTTCTGGACACTCTGGAAAACAAATAATGAAAGCTATGAAAGCTGTAAATGCTTGCATGACACATTGTGAACAGTAAAGATCACAATTAGGGGTCGTCAGTCTCTCATTGGGATAATTTAGCAGCTGCTACAAGGAAACCTCTAACAGATGAGGATAAAATATGAGCAAAAAGATGACTCCATGCATTGAAAGGTCAAAGGTCTGAGTCAAGCTCTTCACAAGGGGTGCATCCTTTTTATTGACAGCCTTTCCACATCATGATCATAATTATATCAGTTGCAGTTCATTTCTAAACTTAATGGCTTAACTTAATTTTCCTTCAGGTACACATGGATGAGTTTACAGGTCTGTGGAAATCCCCGCGTATTGTTTGAATGACGTTGAGAGGGGCGGATGAAACACTGTTTTTGGATCATGTCTTGTTACCTATGTTACAACATCCATTTCTTCCTGTGCCACCCTCCAATCTATACTTTAAAACACAATTTTTCGGTAGAGCAAGAAAGGCTTTGATACCTGCAGAGAGTCTGAACCAAACTCCAACAGGAGTACATCTTCACATGAAAATGTCTGCGACTCTCTGTTCGGATGCAGTTCGTCTCCGAGTGGAGGCAGCTCCAGTCTCAGCATGCGAAGCCACGATTTCAAATGTGAAAATATGTCTGCCCAGTTCATGCAAAAAAAGCTTTGATGTACTTCTGACACGTCTAATAATAATAATACAGATGGGGCGGAAGGGAGGAAGGAACGGCCAAAGGGGGGGTAGATTCAAACAAGAAATTACAACAAAGGGAACACACCCTAAAAAAATGAAAACATATTATCTTTTTTTTTTTTTAAATCTTCACTCCTCCGGATTTTGAGCAGCACGTATCATCATACCTCCCAGACTCCTCGCCATCTCTCCACCAGCTTAGCTCAATGACAACCAAAGGTCACAGCTCCCATCCTGTTTTCACCGAAATCTTCCTGCAGCCTCTATTTGTTTTCATAAAGCTGCTGATGATGCTTTGATGGTGCATTAACAAAAGGGGACAATTGTCTTCTGCTACAACGTGTGTGTGTCCGCATTCATGAGCATGTGAAAGCAGGACAAACCAGCTGCATGCTACACTTAATGGGAACTGACTGATGATACACACTTTCTGAGGGGGGGGGGGGGGGGCAGACTTTCCTGGAACATTAGTTTGAAAAGTCTCTTGGGTCTTTATTGCTGTGTCGCCATGAAGGTGTTAAGGCCTTCATAAATGTTTGCACTCTCATACCATTCTCTTTTTGGGGACCGGTTTCAGACTTTGGGAGTGAGAAATGTTGTTTTCCTCTTAAAAACACATTTCTGAGCTGAGGAAAAACCTCACCTTTTTCATATAACAAATGTACTTATCATATGTGCATACATCAGCTCAGCAACACCATTTGCAAGAAACACTGTAAGATTTGAATGTTTAGACTGGGAAATGTAGATGGAATGGTTATTTGATTTCTAACTTCACCGCCCATAGATTCAGTTAATGTAGTTAATTGCAAACTTATTTTTTCTTGCTGGGGCAAAATGTTTCACTCAGTTTATGTAAAACTCCAAAGCTCCATCATGCCTTTGCTCCTTTTATGGAAATTGAATTGAGATCACACTTCATCCAAATTCCAAATCTTTTTCATAATTTTTCAAGAAACCAGGGTTTGGCTTTAGACAGGAACTAAGGATGAAACCCAAATGTAAGCTCTGCCTGGTCATCTTTGCAATCTGTCTGACAATCTGTTATGTTATTAGGCTCATAGAGTGCCATTCAGAAATGCATAAGTATGGGCAAATTTCGGGAGAACCCTTTCAGTATCCTTATCTATTATTAGTGAAGTTTCTCATAAGCAGAGAAATGTTTAAAAATGTCTGCCACATCTCAGTTTTGGGGTGTAGAAAAGCCTGGTTGATGAAAACGTTAACTCTCCTGACTTTGCAAAGGAGGTAAACGTTGAACAATGAACAGAAAATCATTTTGGGTTTGTGATGAAAGAAAATGGATTTTACATCGACTCTAGTTCTTTAAAAAGTGTTTTCCCTTTGGACCACCGATTCAGAACAACAAATCAACGTTCAACAAATCAACACACAGAGGAACAAGCTGTGTTTAAACAATGGAGATTAATTTTCCACTCAGAAACCTGCTGTTTTTTTGTTTTTTGATGCTATGATGAATTATTCTCTAAGCAAACCTCTTCCAGAAGTGCCAGTGTTTAATATCTTTCACCAAAACCCATCCACCCTAGCTCCTTTGCAATATAAATATCTGACAGTCTGCTTTATCAGAACCCATGACCTGTGAGCAAACTCATAAAGCTTCAAATGCGCTTTTGCGTGAGCCAAACAAATATTTTTAGTCAGGTGCCCACTGTTTAGCTCCCCTTCAAATGTTCAGGAGTATGACAAAAAAATGAACAGATACTAGCCTGAAATTCCGCCCTCTAGAAACTGGCTGTGACTGTTGTCTTTAAATATTCAACATTTCCTGGTCATCCCTGGGGACCTGTAGTGAACCCACCCACACAGATACTGCACCAGTTACCAGTAACAGGCAACAAAACTCTGGAGGGATGCGTGTAGGAGGCACTGTCACTGACGGGAAACTTGTGATGTGCTCTCTCAACTGAAATGGAAATTGGTTTCCATGTAAAAACTTAAGAGAAAATCGTGTGTCTTATTGCAGAGGGCACGGCTGACTTTGGAGAACTGGCCTCCATGTGCAAAGCGTTCAAGCTCACACCTGAGTTTCCTGTGCCAGGTTCTGAGTCATCCTGCACGAGTCAATCTCCGAGCCCCCTGTTCATAAACCTGTGCATCAATGCGCGTGTGTGCGTGAGCCCGCTGTGCACAGACTGCATCTTAAATATATTACGTCGCTGTATGACGCACAATAGAGACAAGAGGGGAGAAGAATTGGGAGGAATAATGGGGGGGGGAGAGGGGGGAGTGGAAGAATGGAAGAGAAGAAGGAGAGGAGGGAGGAGCAGAGGGAATTTTCTCAGACACCCAGCATGCTATGACCTTAGATTCTTTTCAAGGCGGAGGTCTCTCTCCTCACTGTCTCCTTGACTCGCGCGAACTCAGTGCCCGCGTGCCCGGCGTCATCCATGTGGAGATGAAAACGTCAACCCGCATCTTATTCCGTCCACATCCCCTGCTGCCCAGTCTGTCCCGCCTCTCCCGTCAAACACTCACCCCATGCACACACGCAATGGGCTGCCACACTGAACTATACGCGCGCACGGCTCCTCCAAAAGACGCCGCACACGCATGAAAAGGAGCTTCATTTTTAAGGTTACAACTCTCTGCAAAAGTATTCGAGGGATAATATCATGCTCTGTCATTCAAAACGCAAACCCGTCTGCCTTTTCACTCTCTTCATCCACCCCATCCATCCTTCCACATGGCAGAACATAAAGCGGCGCGTCCTTACTGATTGTCCGGGATCCTATGCAGCCCATGTTGTCTTACAGAGGCTCGTACTGCTCGGGGAAAATAAAATCCATTCGTCCAGCGGGCATCTCTCCCCGTATCTCTTTGTCAATGCTTTCCCCTCTCCTCCTCTTCTTCTCCACCTTTTTTCTCCACAGTGTCTCCCTCACTGTCCTCCTCTCCTCCGTATGTGAGACACAGAGAGAGGGTGTGTGTGTGTGCCGCTTCCTCTCCCTCTGCCTGCGCTCAGTCGTCACACACTCCTGTTTTCTATCCCTCCGTGCATGCCACGTACGTGTGTGTACAAACAGAGAGGCTGCACTCCAGAACAATATGGGACAACTTTACACTATCAAATGTTCTGATTCACCTAAAGGTCCAGGAAAGGTTCCACCAATGTTGCATTCCCCAAAACCAGCGGAACGCCAGCCTGAGTTGAGAAAGACCCTCCTGAAGACTAATTTTACACCAGTTTAAGGATAGAGCAACATATTCAGTCACCGATACATATATTCTAACAGTCTGGAATATGATAAGATCGATACAACTGGAGCGTAAGACACAAAAACAGCATTTGTTTAAGTCGGACGGGTTAGTGTAGCGAGAAGTTCTTGATGTTTGGGTTCTGAGGTGGATTCATCCCCCAGAAAAAACTGTCAGTATTTTCTCCCCCCATCCGCTTTACCTTTTTACTACGTTTTAAGGTTTTCTTGACAGCCACCCTTGCAGAAGACTGTTTCCGATAAAGCCAACAAGCCAGAGGAAATACACAACATTTCCTCCTACAGACACAGTAGGAATATCAGCATTGCAGAGTCTGTTACATTAGTTTAATTTTTATTCTTCCCACCAGTGCCTCAAATTTTGGCTACAATGTTGTTCTTCTGATGGTGACTGGAGACAGGGTGTTAAGAGTAAAGAAGGAGGGACTGCTCGTTGACAGCAGATTTTTTCCTCCAAGAAATGTGACAGTGAGAGAGCAACGCATTTAAAAGTCAGTTGAGTTACTTACCTTGAGAGATCCCCATATGTTACCTGGATGGTGATCACTTTACTTATTCACACATGAAAACAGACAAGACCACTGAAGTGCTGAGCAGTGCCATCACTTATTCCACTTACAGCTGCTCATAATTAAAACATTTAAAAAACCCATTTGTTATGCCATATTTTATTGAAACTGAATGAGAATCACACGTGGACGTCAGACAAGAAATGAACAATGAGCCCCATTTTGCTGAGTTCTCCAAGTCTTGACATCTGGGGGTTGCCTAGACGTATTGCCTTGCTTAAGGGCACACCACTGTAAGTAATGAGGGAGAGGGAACCGAAGCCCCAACCCCAGCACAGACTGAACATTTTGGTTCGGCGGCCAAATGAATGTCATATGTTGAGTTATTGCAGAGTGTTTTTAGCCCTATTTCAATCTCACAAAAGGCTAAATGTGGGTTAATATCAGCTGAACGAACACAGAAAGCTGCAGTATAATAATCAACAGGTACTTTCACACATCAAAGCAGAAGTGGAAACAGAGATAATGACTTCATTCTGTTAAATAAGGTAATTATGGGGATTGCATTTAATGGAATTGCATTATTAGTCTTGCCTGTGTTTATAGCTGCTACAAGTCAAAATGCAAGTTATCCAAACAGCTAGGAGCTAGCTCCGTATCAACACTACTGTCCAGCAGCCTTGACTGTTTGTTGTCAAGGCAACCTGCATGGGTGTCGGGTTGAATAGCCTTCTGTCTGTGCCTGGGATGGACAACAAAGGCTAGGATAAACTGGTCCAAGCAAGCCTTGAACCTACACACCTGTTCAGCAAAAAGAGTCACTTTGGTTTAATCACGTCGTGGAGTTTCTCTCTCTCCCCAATGCCAAATAATACAATTAAATGTTCATCCATGAATCTCGGTTTAATTGATGGCTGCATCTGTGTGTGTGTGTGTGTCTGTGTGTCTCCTGATACTATGTTTTACACTGCAGCAGGCTTCCTGCCCGAATGCCACCAGCTTAGTTCGCTGGCAGAGAGACCATCCGAGTTCAGATACTTTTGTAAGTTCAGTGTTTCAAAGAAACATGTGCATACATAAATGTAAATACAGCTGGTAGGTTTTTACAAGCCTTTAAAGTGTTTCTTTAATATGACTGCTTTTATTCTCAAGCACTGTCGCAACTCTCTCATTTTTCTAAGTAGTCTTCAGAGACAGTTGTAAAGGCTTCTCAAAGGACTTCCCAACACAAAAGTCACATTACTAATCCTTTCTGTTCCGTCCAGCCTGCTTCTGGTCCACGTTCCCAGCTGTACAAACCTCCAACATTTGTCTTTTTCTTTGTTTGCATTTACAAAAGAGCCTCCCTGTCGAGTCCATCCAGGCTCTGGTTCCACCACACCTGAGCTTTTTTCATTTTTTATAGGAAACTGTTTTTGATCGCTTAAGACATTTACATAATATAATAGCAAGATTTTGTTCTTCATCTTCACCACTACGAATTTGCTACATGATCCAAGTTTGTTCTTTTTTTAATGCATTAATCTGCGGTCTTCAGTTGTGAATCACTTCATAGTCAACTTGTCAGCTCAGCTTTGACAGCTACTTGATTATCCTCCAATTTATAGTCGTCGTCACCGAATGATGTAAAAGTTTTATTGCACTTGAGTAAAGGTGACCAAGATCGGACTCATATATTATGTATCACAGCGCATTCGGCAGCTGGGCTTTCCACTCTCTTTTCTCTTTCTGTCAGGGCTGCACAGCTGTTTTCCTCCATCAGACATCTCTGCCCTCAGCTTCTCTCAGCCTCTCCTGCTACTCCGCCTCATCCCACACAAAATGAAAACGCGGTGATAAAGCTGCAGAGAGCAGGCACAGAAGGAAATGTCTGCTACCTATTCTATTAACTCGGATCTTTTTTGTCAGACTGGGAATGAGAGAGAGCCCTGAACTTCACTTTCCTCTCCACAGTCAATGGATGCAGGCAAATGAGCGGCAGAATTGCATTCACATCTCGCACAATTTGATCGAATCAAAGCATTTTCGAGACTGACGTTCTTTTTTATGAATAATTTTATTTTCCTCCTCAAACCATTAGTCGACTTTGCAGCCACTACGTGTTCCTAAAATGTGTGATGAGTTGTCAGCCTGTAAATCAACGCATACTTTTGATGCAAAAATGAGAAAAATAGTTCCTGATTCAGCTGCTAAACTGTAATGAAGGCCATTCTGTGTTGAGATGTTTAAGTTTTATAATGAGTATGGACATTTTCAGACAGCAGACATTGTTTTAAAAACTTGTAGAGAGAGTAAACGCAGACCCATGAAAAAAAGTATTTAGTATAATTAATTTTTGAACACTGGGAGAGGGGGTCATTCGGCTGTTTAGGTTTTTCATGGACAGAAATGTCATGGCTTGATTTATATATGCAGTTGAATGATTTTGTTGTTGTTTTGCTTTGTGTGGTTTGATTTTCCTTCAGGTTTTCTCTGTGAATTGGAGAGACTTCAGAACCTGCCAAAATGTCTTGACAAGGTTGTGCTGCCATGAAAAATGTGATTGAATGTGAAGACACTGAGGGGATGGAAATTTTCCCTTTTACAACAACACTTATAAGAACATGGAATGTGTTGGATGAATGGCACCATTCCATCTATTGGCATCTGAGAAAAGATTAACTAAAATAACAAAATCCAAGTTTACTACTGAAATTCCTTTTAATATTAAACTTGGACTATGCTATGACTTTTTTACGAGGAGCATTTGGGAGGTTTTGGTGAAATACTGAAAAAAATTTGATAGGATGTGTAAAGGAGAATTAAAGGACAAGGCAGATGTGGAGAGAGAGAGAACGAGTTAGGTCAAATTCAAGCAATTGCCTGGGAAAGTGGAGAGATGGAGGGATCAGGAAGAGGAGAAACGATGAGTCTGTGAGTCATGCTGGAAGTGAAGAGAAAGAAGTCAAGCAGAGAAAAAATGATGGCAAACGCAAACTGCTGGGGGAATAAAAAAAATCTGAGATGGAAAGGAGAGAGGAGGGATAGGAAGGAGAGAGTAATAGGTACTCTATCTGAGAGGGAAAAGAGAAAGAGAGGGTGTGACAAGAGAAAATAAATGCTCGAGGTACAAACGAAAAGGAGCTGAAAAATAATATGAAGTAGCCTTATTAAAGAGTTTTGTTTCTTTCGTCTTTTCCCTGATTTCCTCTCTGACTGAGTCATTTACCGTCATCAGAATTCAGGCTCTGTTTTTTCACCAAGCAGAGGCAGTAAAATTTGGGTCTATCTTAAGATGTTGGGTCAGATTTGGCTAAAGAAAGCCATTCAGAGTCTTCCTCAAAAGGTGAATTTGTGGGTCACGGGAGAAGTGAGAGTGGTAGTGAGGCTTTGCGGTGTGTAATCCTATCCCTGGCTGCCTGAGAAGAGATGTCACTCCTTGACTCCTCACCCTGGCAGCTCGAAGAGGCACCTCAAAGCATACATCACAGCATATCATAGTGACTATGTGTCGCTTTACTCATGCAAATAAGACAGAACTTTAAAATACAACTTAAGCATGGGAGACTTGTTGCATAATAGGGGAAATTAACTCCAGGTCTTAGTCAGTAAATGTAGACCTCACTTCTAAAAGGTGAAACACACTCATCCTTTTCAACATACATTAGAGCCATTGACCAAGTGAATATTTTTAAAGGAAACGTACAACTGGAACAGCAAGTATTCTCGGTTATTCAGTGATAAACAGTTTAATTTACCTCATTCAGACAGTATAACATATTTTCAATTAAATGTCTTTACCTTACACTTACATACCAACATAAAAATCTCTAGTTGGATGATGCATATCCGGGCCGGGTAATTTCTTAGTTCAGTCTTTGCCATCTCCTCCTCTTTTTGAGAAAACTATCCATTTCTACTGCTGCAAAATGCTCCACTCTGGTCTCCAGCTGGTCTTTGCTGCACAGGCAATTTAAAACCCTGTCAGTTAAAATAACTGCCAGATGTCACCAAAACCAAACTTATTGTCAAATTATT